CGTGCGTACACGACTCTTGCTGCAACACGGACAAGTAGTCAGTGAGTAGAGTAAGTAAGATTAAAGTAAGTAGTGGATGATCACAACATTATTCAGTTGCCGTGTAACCAGTTACATCGTATCGTTGATTTCAAAACTATGGTTTATTTATTACATATTGGCGTCAAAAGAATTGTCTATCCTTGTCCTAAAGAGATCTTAAATACCCAAATCTAAACAGATTATTGGATTAATTCATTTATTCTCTGCAAATTGAATTAATTTAAAGTAAACATAAGCGTCATAAAAAAATCAGATTTAGGTAAAAAACTAACCGCATCACATTACTTTTCAGGTGCTCCAGATACTAGAACACAAACTTTGCGGTAACAAATCGTCGGGAGGAAACCTGCCGTAAAGTTTTAGAGTACATTCGTTGCGACTACGTCAATATAATTTATTTGCTGTTTTGTCGCAACTTCGCCCGCGTAAATTTGATTTGATTCAATTTATAGGGAAGACCTGAGCCCCAGCAGTGGGGAAATAATAGGCTTGTGATGATAACTATTGCATCAACTGTAGGTAAACCTAGAAAAAATATGTATTAGTATAGATAAACAAATGACAGGTAATGAGTATCGGTGGTCACCTGCGTTATAGCTCTGATGGCGGCAATTAGTGAGCCGAGCGCGGGCCACACCGCACATCGCAACAGTATCCACATCCGTCCCCCCTCTTGTTCCGTCCCCGGCACCACCGCATCCCCATCCCTTGACACTACTCCCTTCTCCATACAATACTCGAAGGCGCTGTCGAAACCCTACGACAGATTTTAAATCGTTTCAATGGCTCCCCACTAGAGGTGGTTAATATACATTATTTGGTCATTAAACTGATTTTTTTTTAACACATATAAGTAATTCTATTTTCAAACATATTAACAAAAACATTGTCCAAGGTCACTGACTCAAATAAAAATATTCATTCCATACCTACATTGATATAAATTAACTCAAAAGATAAAAATATAAACAAATATTTTCAACCAATTAAATTACTGATATTTATTTAACCATTCCCCACCTTAAGCATGCAACTAAATGAACAGTAGTAAAACATTTGATATTTAATAGTTTATCGTTTTTACTCGATCTCTGTTTCTAAAATTTAAAAGGTTTTATGCAAAGCGATAGTGCGCCATGTTTCTTGGCTGCATATTTAATGACATCTCTTAACCTATTAGAAAAGCAAAACTTTAGATATAACAATAAATGATTGCCCCATGTGCGCGGGGCGTCAAAGTCAAAAGAATTGCGGCGCTCACTCGTTATAGTTTCAACTGTTTACAATAATTAACGAATCTAGTTCCGGTTTCTTATTGTTACCAGATAAATGATCTATAAAATTTATTATATTCAGTATTGACAGTGAACTATTTGTTTCATGATTATAGGAAAAGTTGTATACGTACCTGTGCTTCATATTTTTCTGAGTGGAAGAACTCGTGCCGCAACATTTTGCGAAGATGTCTGTAATGCCGGCTTATTACATCTAAAATATCAATTATTTCCATATGATGATTCACGATAATACTTCATATTTTATGTGAACTGTAACTGAATGTCAACCAAAGGAAATCCTGAACGAGTAGTAGGTAGAAAAAATGATATTTGATTGAAGAGTGCTTGTAAGAAGCTTATTTGAATAAAGTATTTTTTATCTTTAATGTGAGCATGCAATCTATGTATAGATCGGGTTACACGACGTGGGATAGTTGGAATGTAGCGTTAAATAGTAATCATGTTTCGAGAAATACTGGTTAGGTAGTGGGATAGAGCTGAAGTCCTTGTACAATCACCCAAGAAAGTGATGTATTAGTTTAACAAAAGTGTGATCTGTGTGTTGTCGCTAAGCTTGACTTTTTAAATGCTCGATGTAGTGCTGGCTTAGGACTTCCAATCCCGCAGCCTACATTTAATCTCGGTATTCGCGGGACTAGAAATTTTCAATCCCGCGGTATTCGGTATTTGCGGAATCTCGGGATTCGCGTAATCCCGCATCTAGAAAATATTACTATTTATACAAGGCAAATAAAACAAAGAATTAATCAACATGACTTCACATTTATTTGAGTTTTATTATTAGCATGAGATCAATCAAAGAACAATGGCGAACTCCCATATAGCTTTGGACCTGAATTTTTAAAGTCGCGTTCATCAATGAAATAAACGTGTACTTGAAGGTATAAGCTAAACTAACAAAATCCTAATCGTCTTTTTCCTTTAAAAGTTGGGATTAAAGAGATATGGCATAAAATACTTTGTGGGGTTATATATTGCATCTTTGCTTTTTCGTTGAATGGACGTTAAAATGAATAAAAATGGTAACCAGGTTACTCCGTTTAATAAACTAGATTAAAATAATTACATATCTAACAATATCCAGACATTTATAATAGAAGAAACATTTATAACATATGACTAAACTGTGTGGAGTAGATCCCTTTGCCTTTAATTAAATCATTACAACTGAAAGTGACAAACAAGGGCAATGTACACATTGAACTGTCATTGTTATAACCGAATCAATTGCCATTCGGAATCCAAAAGTAATGCAAATATCAACGTTAGTCGAAGAAACATGCTTAATTGTCAAGTTGAATATTAACATAAATATCAAACTCCACGAACGAACACACAAAAAACAAACCAAACCAATCATCCGCTATCATTCCACCATCATCATCTTAGAACATTCATAGATGAAAACAAACATGTCAAAATAAAATCAACCAATCGATTATTTAGAACAAAATAATCGATACGTTAACCTTTCATCGGTTCAACTACAGAACTGGCAATAATCTTCTTAAATCGGTTGTGGTATCTTAGCTTTAAATTTTTTATTTCTCAAGTATTCAATACGTAATTTGAACAAATAAAATAAATATTTATGAAAGTATTCAAAGACCGTATTTCATATAATATATTATATATAGATTTTATATTAAATATATATTTGACGTTCATTCGCTCAGTCGGTACACGTCATTACATCACATATCTCACTAATTATTAGCAGTAAATGGCGACAGATAATATTCTATAGAACATGTTTGAAAAACTCGCGATTAATTAAGAATCGCTTCTGACATCGTTGATGTATGTGATCGATTTTTCAAAAACCATCCAAAGTACAACCCTTTGATATATTGTGTGGTTTTCAATTAAGAGAACGGAATGAATTCTATACAATTTTATTTTGACTTTATATTCGATTATTAAGCGTATTGATGGTACTTTAAAGGTAATAAAATTAATTGCAATGTACAGGGAACGATAATATCCATTAAAATAGATGACCCTTTTCAAGGGCAAAAGTCATGAAACACTTCCAAGGTATAGTTTTATTATTAAAGTACTTCTGCATAAACCAGAACGTTTCTTAAAAAGATTTTCGCGTTTTGTTTTTGCACTATCATCAGACGTTTTGTTATCTTGATAATTATTAGCAGCATTTAACATTTTAGTTTGGTTCCCCGACATTAAAATTCACCATTTTGTAGAAATAAAATTTATTAATCATATATTATTTATTTGTCATATTGCCATCCATGTACGGTCTTGTAAATTATGGGGTCCGATTTCGCCATTCTTCTTTGATTTATATGTTATTGAAGACTGAAATAAATACTTAAAAAATTAAAATCTTTTAACTACAAAATATATTACCACTAAATTAAATTATAAACCAAAAATATTTTCATCTGAATGTTGAGTTATAGGTTATAGTTGATTATATAGGATTTCATTTGTTCCGTCAGTAACCGAGCGATCGTGCTCGCGAGAACTAGTGTGCATGTTTCTTTTCAGTTCCGCAATGCGTGCGCATGTGAGCCTACAACACGGAATTGAAAAAAATACGCGGGATCCCGCAATACAGAGATTGGAAGCCCTTAGTGCTGTTGTAGTGTAGTGTGATAGAGATGAACTCGTTATACAGACAGCCAAGAAAAGAAAGAGAAGATTTTTGTGAGATCTAATCGCTAAGTTCTACTTTTTAAATGATTTTAGATGCTATATTCACAGCCAGCTGCAAAAACGTCAATTAAATTTTTCATTAGTTAAAAGTAACATTACCGATACAAATTTGACATTCATTAGAGCTTAAAGGTATCATTAAACTTTAATGGTCGTTTGTGCAACTGACCGTAGGACTGTATGTCATGCCTACCATTTACAGTACCCAATGATCATCTGAATCATAATAATGTTATTGCGAGGGGAATTCGACCTTGTTATTTCATATAGAGTGTGATGTCTTACTTACTCTTCGGTTCTCGTCGCCTGGCGAGGAGAGCGACCAAAGCCGAGGGCACGAGGTAGTGCAGGACCGGGTTCACGTACAACTGCAGCTCTATTACAGGGAGCGCGTGTCTCATAGTCTCCGCATTCAGTATGTTATCTGCAAATGTAATAATACTAATAAAAATTAATTTAAAAATAACTAGTTTTGTTTTTGTGAACATGGCAAATGTCACAAATATATTCATTCTATATTATAAAAAGAAAAGATTTGATTGCTTGTTTTTTGCAAGAAATAAGCTTCGAAACTAACTGGACCGAATTTCAACATTCTTTCATCTACTGGAAGCTGCATCTTATGCGGTGAACATAAACTATATTTTATCCCGAAAAACAGCAAATAAAGTGATAGTGGGCATAAAAATCATGAATTTCGTGTGGCGTTAAATAAGGACGGCCTCCATGTTGGTGTGATAATATGAATCGATAACCAAATAAACAGTTCCTTAGGGACCACGCGGGTGAAGTATATATTTTTATGTAATTAAAAACATTTAAATAAACTCAGATAGTCATAAAACCACATGATTGTCTTATTGAATTAAAATTAAAGTAGAACTCTTTATAGTATTAGCAGCGCCGGCTGAATGAAACTTGGCACTCTAGGCAAAATACTGGAACATGCATACATTCTATGGATGAAAGAGTAATATCGCCGATAACAAAAGATATTCCTTAGCTATTCCGAGAACTTAATACAAAAACTCAATATTTTTATATGGTACTCACTGTATGGTTTCAAACAAATCGAGTGAAACAGATTATGTCAAACAAAATTTTTTATTTTATTTTTATTATTATTTATAACATACCCCGTCGTTTCCTTTGTACGTATGTATCCGTATGTAGTCGTATTAAACGTCGCTCGTCCAACATCCACCGTCGCGAGTGCACGCTCAACACTCGCTCTACATCCGCGCTACATCCCGTACACATCACCTCACCACCCAGACCCGTCAACACCTGTTGAGACACGCGTTAAGTGGGTCAGAATACCAAATATTACTGTAATTAATTCATTTTTAGTTTTGTGTACCCAAAGGGAAAAAAAACGTTCCAATGGCTACCTTTAAGTTCTGTCATCAAAGGGGTTATCACCCCTTATCGGAATACACATAGTTGATATCATGGCATCGCAATGTATCTCATGCAATAAAACAATAATAAAAAAATCACTTGGATGAGAATGCAATAACTGTACAAAAACTGTATACTTTAATACCATCTATAAAGCTTCGCGAACGTATAATTTTTCGTCTATTTGGGCGGTAGGTTGTAGATCCTTAAGGGTAATTTTCAGTTCTTTTGCCTTCTGTATCCAGGTGTTTCTATGACCATGTTAAATTTCTGCTATTATAGGTCTGTTTTTCTCTCCTCGCTGTGGTGAAAGTTTTGCCATTTTAATAGTTTCTTTGTTTTGCCATTTTAATAGTTAACTTGGTGTTTGGCGGCTACTTTATGCATAATTGCAGTTATATCTTCTTTTTCAGTTCTTCTTTTTCCAAGTTATTGTTATGATTATTTAGATGAGTGTTCTTCTTTTCGAGATCTTTAATCCTTTATGTGAAGGCTTCTATGCAGTCGTTAAAGTCATCTATTTTCTCGCTGAAGAATTTTTTAAGGTCATTTAAATTTGTTACAGTATTGTTTACAAGTTCAAGTACGGCATCAGATGTTGAAATATTGCGTCTAAATCCAAATTGATTGGGTGATATGAGTTTATTAGTCTCTAGGTAATAGATGAATATTTTATTTAATATCCTTTCAAGTACCTTTAATAGAGAAGTAAGAATTGTAATAGGGCTATAATTACCCGGAGAATCCTTGTCCCACTCTTATAAATAGGATGTATGATAGCTTTTTTGAAAGCACTAGGGAAAACACCAAAGCGGAAGCAGTTGTTAAGGATATGTGTTAATGAAGCTGAGAGTACAGTAGCATATTTTTTAAGTATTAGAGGAAATATTGTCCCATCCAAGTGTTGTGTTCGATTTTAAAGAGATAATTTTATTATATACTTCATTTTCAGTTTCGAGTAGAACAAAAGGTTGTGAATGTAGGGGTGTAATAAATTTATAAGTTATGTTCGATTTATATTTATTTTGAATAAATTTATTTGCTAGATTTTCCCCAATGGTTGCCAAGTACGAACTAGTTTTATTAACAGATTCAATTGGTGTGGCACATGATTGTAGTAGATCATCTGAAAGTAACTTGGATGGTAAGGTATGAGTTATCTTCTAAATAGTATTCCAGATCTTTTTTGGAATAGATACCTGCTTTTCTCCATTTATCCTGTAGCGACACAAAGTTTCAGCCAATTCAGACCTATAATCTGCCAAAGTAATTGTTTTGGAATTTCCTCTCTTTTCATTGACTTTTTTGTATACTACCCATGAGTTTATGACAGCTAAATCAATCAGGTGATAAAACAGTCGCATGTACCATTTTCGGCTTTTAATGCGAATTTTGTAACGCCCCAAAAAGCTGTCCATCAAATCCACGCCGCCCATATGAGCGTTGTAATGTTTTACGATTTGTGGGCACTGTACTGCTGTTTGTTTTTTCTGTTTTTTATCGTACCTAGTTATTGTTTCGACTGGTTCAGCTCCAACATATGTTGATGCCAATGTAACCGGCTTATTATCTTTCCAAACAATGGCAGATATTTCGACACCTTCATAATCGACAACTTGTTCTTCATATTTTCCACGAGGGACCGATACTTTCATTATTTCCGCTTTTGAAGGTAGTTTGCAATTCTGACCAAGGCGATTTCTTTGTACAGTGCCTACCGAAAGAATACCTTCATTCTTCAAATAGTGTAGTAATGGGATTGAAGTGTAGAAATTGTCAAAATAAATTATATGGTTCACATTTCTCGACACTGGACGGCACAAGCGAACTACGACGTTTCCTACGGCACCAAGGTCTGGCTCTCCTGGAGCGATGGCTGTTTCCTGGCCAGAATAAATCTCAAAATTATAGGCATATCCAGCCAGAGAGCAAATGACATACAATTTGAAGCCCCATTTATGAGGTTTGTTAGGTAGGTATTGCTTCATAAAATGCCCAATTTTGCTCGCACACATTTGTTCGTCTAACGACAGCCTTTGTTCAAATGGAACTTTTTTGAACTGGCCGTTGAAGTGATCTACTATAGGCCTGATTTTATGAAGTCTGTCGTGGCCCGGGTCGCCAACTGGCTTGTGGAGGAAGTTGTCGTTGAAATGCAGTACAGATCGAAGTTTTTCAAATCTGTTCAATGGCATGGTTTCCAAAATATTCTTGAAACCGTATGTAGACCAATAAGATCGAACACTTGGATAATGGAAAACAGACATAAATATAATTATGCCTAAAAACTGACGGATTTCAGCGTTTGTAGTTGGAGGACAGTTAGAAACTCCCTTTTGGTTGATGTATAAGTTAGTCTCTCCAACTATTTTGGTCAGAATTGTATCGTCTATAAATTCAGAAAAAAAATGGTACGGTGTCTCCAGTTGCAAAAACTTTGTAGGTAATTCAGAGTTTCCTCTAAACAAGACCTGGTCCTCATTGTAAGGTAAAGTACGTTTTTTCCAAATCACTCTACGACTTCTCGCCTTCCAAGCTGCAGCCCCTAGAATCCCGGCGGTTGTTCCAGAAGATGAATCTGGCAACGAAAGTGTGGACGATGAATTATTAGCCGGAAGCTCTTCTTCTTCCAAAACAAGAGTAATGTCAACAGTGTCATTGTTTAGATCTTCCTCAGGTTCATCATCTAAGTCCCTTATCAAATCGCGAACATCTGTATAATGATCGAGTTCATTTTCGTCCATTTCGGCATCATCTTCCGAGATATCTCCATTCTCAAGACTTCTGAGAAGTTCCTCAATGTCTTTATCTCGCAATCTGCGTGTCATTCTATAAAAAAACGGACAAAAAAGTCATCACAATGTACATAACTTTCGTTAGAATCCAAAATCTGTTCATATTCGGTTAACGCATACTGTAGACAAATGGCAACTAATCGAAAATCTTTCCTAAGTCAGTTAACGCATAATGTAGCCAAATGTCTACATACACTTTTTTACTAAAATTATCGTGAATATTCTGCAATATTTACTTTTTGTACATAAAATAGTTTACTTACTTTTCTCCGCAGATGATAACGTTTTTTCACTGAAGAAATAACACTTATGCTAACGTAAAATCAAAAAATAATAAACTACTTCGCTTACTTTTGCAAAACTTGAACTGCCGCCGACTCAAATGTCAAAATTTTAAAAAGTGACGCCGATTTTAGTGTTGCCTTAAGATTTGTTTTTTTTTTCATATTGTCTTACGACATTTTTTAGTAATTTTGTGCAAAATTTGCGATATCTTGTATTGTGTTGTAAAATACTATCATTGGGATTTTTTTTAATAGCGGTATCCCATTCGCTGCACGGAGTAAGCATTGTTATAAGAGCTCATAGTTTTGCCCCAGACCTTCGATATTGTTTCGAACTAAATTAATTGTCAAGAGAAATCAAACGAGCCCAAAGTCAATGGGGTTTAATTACAGAGGCCCCATCTCTACTTTATGACTCCATCGTTAAATAATTTTCATTCAACGGGGTCACAAAGCTCCCATGACCACTTAAACAATGAAGGTAACACCTTCATTGGTGTCTAGTCCTGGGACAATATAGAAAGTTAATTTTCTATGCTAACGCAAATTTTCAAATTTGCGTTAGTGTTAAATGTAAATATTGAACACCTTCAAACCAGCGTACGAGCTACTCACCTACGGAGGTCCTCGTACAGAAATAATATTTTAAGCAAAAATAAGACTATTTAAGAAAATTGACAATAACTTGAAAAAATTGGATTTGCAATTCAAATTATAGCTGACCTTCTTGAGCCATTCCACCTCTTCCAGTAATTGTTCGTAACTTAGACAGGTTCGTTTGACGAGACAGTGTGTGAGGATCACAGCCAGCAGGTTGGCAGCAGTGAGGACAGTCGCCGCCTGTTGTCTACATATTACTTCCTCCGCTACCTCCCGTACCTAAATAAATCATACAATATTTGTTGACATTATTCTTATAATTTGGGTATATACCAGATCCATATCAATTGTAAATCGTTACCAGAATTGATTACTTGACTGTTTTGAAAAAAGTATTTTAAAATTTTTATATGATGTTTTGAACATGTTTTTATTCATAACAAAAACAATCAGTCACGTTACGGTTCTTGTAATCCACAAATTATAAATGGTAAGTTAATTTTGAATTGCAACGCCATATCTTAATTTATTTCTTTTCATTAAAAGATGGCACTTATATTCTCAACAATGTTTAAATAAATAGTAAAAAGTCATTAAGCATTGTTTTAATTTAATTATAATAAGTAAAATTTAAGTATTAAATAAAGTTATCATAAAACAAATCAAACCTGTGAAAACTGCTCCGGAGACAACTCCTGAAGATCTACCGGCTTTAATGACTCTCGAGTATAAGGTATATGCTTCAGGTATTCTTTTACTGACATCGGTTCACCAAAGTTAATATACATGTTACCGAACTGGTCGTTGAGAGTGGACACCCATTTGAGAAGACCCTGTAGAAAGTCCTCTTTTAATATTGATGCAAAGAAAATAAATTATAACAATAAATATGGAAAATAACGTGTAATCAAGAGCACAAATTAGACAAAAAGCTTTAATCGTGTAAGAACATAATAATTGCATTTATCTTTGATATTTTACTTTATTCTATTATTTTAGTTTTAACACATATTTAAGTTAGCATTAACAGACGGTATATTTCCTAATAAGACTGAAATTATCAGTAGTAAAACCTTTATATAAGAACGGAGACGGAGCAGATATAAGTAATTATCGAATAATTAAGAAAAAATTGGAATAAGAGTCATAACTCTTATTCTTTCGAAATTTTTTCGAAAATTTTGCTTGCTTACTAATTTAATGGAAAAATATGAAATTTTAAAAAAAGAACAAAATCGACTACCTGCTTACTACGTAAACCTATCTCGGTAACTTTTTCGCACATGACAAAAGCGTTTGATTTCGTAAAGCATAAGGCTACTATTTAAATGTATAAAAATATGGCATTAGAGGTCCAGCATTAAAATGGCAACAAAACTATCTTAAAGATCGTAGGTAATATGTAAAGATAACGCGACTCAACCAAAGTAATTGTTTGACAAGTTTTGCATGAAAATCTAAACCCAACAGATACGGTGTACCCCAAGGTTGTATTCGGGGGCCATTGCTTTTCTTGCTCTATATAAATAATCTGCCTTTTGCAATAAGTCATCAGTGTGTTCTCTTAACTGATATTTCAATCATAGTTGCAAACCAATTAAAAAAATTACAATACGCACAAAAATTTTATGTTTTCCACAAAATCCTCGACCGGTTAAAACACAATAATTTGAAAGCTAGTTTTTTTAATGTTAAATATATGATGTTCACTAATTATAACAACAAAGATAATTTAATATTTTAGTTAGAAAGTAGAAAAAGTCAAATTTCTAGATATAATACTGGACGAAAATTTAAATTGTAAAGAGCAAATTGATTATGTTTCCAATAGTTAAATAAGTTTATATAAATTCCAGTGAAGAGCTTTGTTTGTTGTATCAGTATTAAGGTATGAACTTGTACTTTGGGGCAATTCTGTATAATAATAATAAAGCCATTATAGTAAAAAAATATATATACGAGCGATAAGTGTGGAGTAGGACCTCTGACATCATACAGACCATTGTTTAAAAATTTTAAACTATTAACCCTTGCAGATATGCATATTTTCAAATTTGTACTTTCGTGAACGAAAACTCACAATTATTTCATAAGTCAATTCTGTTCTGTGGTACGTAAACATGATCTTACCAAATAATCATACCATATAGAAAAACAGCATTGTGCCATGAAAACTGTCAGATAATGGCAATCAAAAGATTTAATGAAATTCCTTAAAGTATAAGAGAATTACCATATAAACAATTTAAATACTAATTGCAGGCGTGGTTACTCAATAACCAATTAAAGTTTAAAGGTATATTATTGTAGACATTGACAAATTATTAAAATTCTTATATTACACAATTTTTTAATGTTTAATTATTATATTAATGATGATTGTTAATTCACATTTTTTTATAACTACTTTATATATTCAAATGTAATTTGACTTTCATTAATTAATTATTCTTGTATTTAAAAAAAAATGCATGTCGAAATATGTGAACCTATTTATGACAAATGAGCATCCATTACATGTAACCATATTTACTGTCTGTATCTACGAATGACTGTTACGGGTTGTATCTTACGGGTTGGCAGTATGTGCCCTATTTCATTTCTCTATTTTTTTCATTTTTAATATACAAATAAGTCCACCCCATTAACCATGTATAAATTATTTACAATATAATTAATTACACGAATATAGTTTCATTTCATTTATTTTAACAGAATAAATAAAAAATAAACTCTAGAAAGCGTGTGCAATCGACCTTTAACGCGCCATGTCATCTATTATTATGAACAGGTTCTACGTCAATATTTATTTGTTTTTATGCTGTCGGAGATCACCAAGGCTAACATTTAAATATTTTTAGATTGTTTCATTTGTTATTAATGAATTATTATTACAGTTTTTATAAATGAATAGCAAAGATATTCATATAACACTAGTATTATAAAACATTAGTGGCCGCCAGCGACTTCGTCCGCGTTTTCCATTATTTCTTCGGTCCTAATAGTTGCAGCGTGATGTTATATAGCCTAAAGCCTTCCTCGATAAATGGTCTATTCAACACAAAAAGAGTTTTTCAATTCGAACCAATAGTTCCTGAGATTAGCGCGTATAAACTAACAAAAAACAAACACTTCAGATTTGTATAGATTTTCTAGGGTTCCTTAACCAAAGAGTAAAATGGGAACCCGACTTCGACTAAGACATTACTGTCTGGAACTTCGACTAAGACATTACTGTCTTCTCTGTATGTCTGTCTGTCTGTCAGCAGGCTGTATCTCATGAACCGTGAAAGTTAAACAGTTGAAATATTTAAGAAGGCTCTCATACAACAAAGGTGATTTTTTTGCCTCTTTTTCTTCTTTGTGATATATCGAAATTATTCGAATTGCTGTATTTATATATTGTTATATAAGGTGATTAATATTATACGTACCCTAGTGGATTCCTTCGGTTTAGGTACGCCGAGGTGTTCGTAAGCGAAGGTGGTCTGCTCCATTAGGCGGTCGTAGTTGATGCTGACCGGCACTATCGTTACCTCTGGTACCTCGCCAGCAAACAGCGGGGCCAGCGCCATTGATAACATACCTGCGTCATTAGTCAAGTGCACTTTTTGAAGTGTTCTCAATTTCTTGAAAACCCAGTTGTTAGTGCGTTAATCAGTAAGTAGCCTATATCACCCGCTTACCGTAGTTGAAAGAATTATTTAAATAAGTTCTGTCGCAGCCAAGTGGTATAATCAGCAGACCAATTGGGCGACTAGCTCTTTAATTGAACCTCGAAAAATGGTCTATTCAACACAAAAAGAAATTTTCAATTCGAACCAGTAGTTCCTGAGATTAGCGCGTTCAAAGAAACAAACAACTCTTTGGCTTCATAATATTAGTATAGATAAAATTGTATTTCATTTCTTTGGACCAGTAGCTCAATTTATGAGCCCAAGAAAGTGCCATCGCGAATTTGACATGACAATCTTTCTCTGCAATTTTGGGTTTAATTAATAAGTTAAACGCAAATTTATAAAAACCAAAGCTATTCAATAAGTCAAAATTGTTAATATATTTTTGATTTTGATATCAAGAACAAATCTAGGCTATACACCTACGTATATAGCTGGTACGAATTAATTGTTCTTGATTACGTTGTTGTTCGTGATTACTTGATCTTGATACCTACGTATTAGAGAATATGTATTATAATATTTAACGCGAACATCAGATTGACAAACAACGGATTAGACACACCAAGGACAACTCACCATACTTAGGTGGTAGACTTTTATTGCTCCTGCTTCTAGTGCCTTCAAGGAAAAACTCGATAGGAGCGTTATGTTTCGCGACTAACGTTCGCACGTATTGGCGCAACGTTGCTGCATAGAGAGGAGCGCCCGCCAGCGTACGACGAATGTAGAACGCGCACGTTTCTCGTAACACTTGACCAATCACAGCCATCGAATAGAAGTCTAAAACAATATAAAAAAATAAATGTTGCTGCAACAAATTAATTTTTATCCCCCCTTTACGCCCGTGAAAAAGAAAGAACCTAATCATTTTGGTTTGAAGATAGATGCAAAGTTATCACAGTGAAAATAGACTTATTTCCCTAAGAGTATGCATGTGAGTTTACAGATAACAGCTTTAATTTCGAAAAGTCATAGTTGTCTGTCATGCATATTTCAGGAGATCTAGTGCAATCAGATTGAGAAACTATTGTATATTACATATATAACACATAATGAAGGGACCACTCTTATTAGTTGCTTTATCTGAATGTTTACCTTACACATCAAAAAACAGGCATTTTCTAAACATCTAAACATTATTAAAACTATTGCCATCTGAAATCCATTCAGAATGACAAACGATAACCACTATTTTTCGAAATCCTCAGACATAATTTAATCCAGGGGCAGCTTAACCTAATGTGCAGGGTGTGCAATACACACGGGTGCCTTGATGCTAAGAGCATTGTTTTGTACCAACATGGTACAAATCAAAACATATCTCTCAACTGTAGATATGACAGTTAGACTCTGTTGAGATTAGGGGCGCGACCGCCTAACTCACAGACGTAGCCGTAGTCGTAGCTATAACCTACGCTTTATCGATATTTCTTATGAATCTGTTTATATTCTTTTAAAATTAATTATTTTTTTTTTATTTATTTATTTTATCAAACATTTTGGTTTGTTTTTCTTTTCGAAATAGCATTGTTTGTATCAATTCGACATTTTGTAAATTTCGTTTCACTTTAATAATTCAGCAAACAAAAACAACTAAAAGTGTTGATTAAATATGTAAATAATAAAAAATAATTAATTTAAAACAATATCAACAGATTCATGTGTAAAACCTATAAAGCGTAGGTTATAGCTACGGCTACGGCTATGTCCATGAGTTAGGCGGTCGCACCCAACAGGCCTTGCTGAGAACCTTGCAATTGTTAAAGACATCAACAGCTATCAAATTGCACCTCAGATAATGGGGTATACTCATAAGCATACACTATGCTTATTTTCATTGATACAAGAAAATCAATTTATCAAAATTAAAACATTTGAATGTCTTTAGCATCAAAGTAATGAAACTATTGCAAGTTTATATTAAAACTAGCTTTTGCCCGCGACTTCGTCCGTGTGGTAAAGTTACTTTGAGCAGCATTTCTAACAAATATTTATTTATTCATTCCATTAGGTACCGATAGGTACAAACTAATACATTTACATCCTCCATCATCCCTTATTTTATCCCCACGGGGGTTGAATTTATCAAAATCCTATTAAAGTGGATGTCTTTATCATATCCCATATTTTGTCCCCTCAGGGGTGAAATTTACCAAAATCCTTTCTTAGGGAATGCCTACGTCATAGTAGCTTTATGCATGCAAAGTGTCAGCTTGATCGGCTTAAAATTGACAATCTTTCATCCCCTATTTTATCCCCTTGGGGGTAGAATTAATCAAAATCCTTTCTATATATAAATATATAATGGATGCCTTGGTCCAGTGGTTTGGACTGTGCGTTGATAGATCACTATGTCAGTCAGTCACCTTTGAGTTATACATATTTAGATGTTTAATTAAGGCATCCACATCAAAAAATTATGATCTCTAGGTAATCTATGCATCAGAACGCACTTTAGGTTTTTTATCAGTTGGGATTTCAGTTGTTAATACCCTCAAATCAGCATTGGGCCAGTGTGTAGGGTCATGGAATATCCTCCTTAACCATTGAAATGAAATGAAATAAAATGAAAATATTTTTATTCAAGTAGGTTTATTTCAAGCATTTTTGAATTGTCAAAAAAAAAATTTTCTCTACCACTTCTTCAGGACGTCTTTAAGCTGACAAGAAGAACAAGCGAAAGAAACTTACCAGCTCTTTCTCATAAGTAATGACATTTACATAAATCATGTTATTACCAAAATAATATGTATTATCACAATCATAAATAAGTAGCCAAAAGGTTAAAATCCCACCAAAGATGTGTTCTAACTGATATAATTGTGCATTGAACATGGTAGAAAAAAAACATATTATTTAATATAGAAAACTTCACATACCCATTCCAGAAGCAACTGCTGGTAATTCTATATCGTAATGATAACAAAGATATGTAAGAATACAGAAGTCAGCATAACTCCGATGCGTAGGTAGGAACAATACAGGATTTTTCCCCATGCTAGATTTAATCTAAAAATTAAAAATGTCTTGTGTGAAGTACTTTTATTTTAAAAAATTACACTTGAAGTTGATTTGCAAAATGTACAATTATGTTTTTAACACACCTTTACTATAGCTGGCTCATTGACATAAATGGCGATATTCATGTTGAAAGCAACTTTTATGGCAAACATACCCAGCCATCGGATAACATGCATTTTTTTATCCAATCCTATTTCTTCAATATAATTCATAATTTCTTGTTTTATTTTTTGTTTACTAAAACCAGTTTTAGCACTCTCCTAAAAAAAGTTTCATTCATAATATAAACATACTTTTGTGGCCAAATTATCGTGCAATAATTTATAACGATTTTTTTTTTGTAATAAAGAAATAAATACCGCTTCTATGACCATTTCCAAATATAATGAACAAGCAGTGATATCTTTTAGGTCTTGTGGAGTGTAATTTTTTGCCAATATTTGTGTTTTTTTGGGGTGCCAGTCTCTCGTCATAAATCTAAATATGCCACTTTGTGTTCTTCTTGGTTCTAAAATATCTACAAAGTGGGCTTCTCCGTGCATTTTTTCTGTTAGCTTTTTTTTATATAAAAACCAAAAGGTTAAGCAAACATATACAAAGTTAGTATTTATTTAAGTCTTTTAAACTGATATTAGTATACTTGAGTTGGTATTTCATTTAATCCATTTAAGTAATATATCACTGAAATTGAGATAACTTTAGAAGCTACGAAATGAGCAAATAAACAGACGGACGAACTTGTCTATTTCAAATGTCTTATTACTAGGGATGTTAAAAAATAAAAGATTTTTATTTTAATCGATTATTAATTTAATATAATCGATTTTCCATGTCATATTAATCGATTTTTAACAAATCGATTAAATAAATTGCGCGGTTAAATCGATTTTCATAAATAGCATCATCTATGCGCCAAATGAAAAAACTCGAAGCATTATTACTTAAAAGTTGATTATATAAAAACGGCGCCATCTGTAGGTATGTAGGTATATATGATCTATTTCATGGCGACCGTGACCACGATGGTCCGAAGCTACAAAATAGTGGTGTGAATTGTGACATGGGACGGAGGTCAAGGTGTAGGTTATTTTCCTACATACTTATAATGGGATAGACAGCAAATGATTATTACTCCGAGAATTAAATTAACTATGTTTATCAATTGGATATATAGAGAAGATGCAAGAAATTTTTAAAAGAAGTCATTGAAGAAACTGCAATGGTTGTAATACAAAAAGTAATTAAATGATAACGAAGAAGAAATGGCGGATAACCGAAGAAAAAAATATGTAAGAAGAATCTGATACTCAAGACGACATTAGAATAACATCGATGTTGACATCGATATCATCATCGTAAGTCCAACATCGATGTTTGGTATTTATCGAAAACTAAACATTTACATTCATGACAATTTTTTTTTTATTATTATATTTAATTTTTTGCGACAATAAGGTTGTCATTTTGATGGGGTGCTCATTTAATTTTTATTATTATATAACGTTTAAAGATACTGAGAATTTCTATCAATAATGATATTTGGTTTTATTATTCCTTACCTTGAAAGTTTAAAAGAACATTTGCTTTGATTTTTAGTTTTGAATTGTCAATTTTTTTATTCATATTATTTTTTTTTAATCTGATTATTTGTTAATTAATGTGACTGTGACTTTTAGGTTTATTATTGGAATATGCAAAGCATGTAGGATTTTAAATAATAGAAATAAAAAACGATTTTTTCGCAAAAAACGATTATTTATTTTCATTAAAATCGATTATTGACAAATCGATTTATAATTTATAAAAGATAATCGATTTTTATTAAATCGATTATTTTCTATTAATCTCACATCCCTACTTATTACTAGCACAGACAGACCAACTCACAACAATATACTCTACGATTCTACGATGATTACTAGGGAGAGGGGTTATTATTTTATTTGAGTTATATAAATAAACATCGTTACGTCAAAACATTCGAAAGTCAATATATCGGAGATATCCAATACCTTATATTTTATAAATAACGATTTATAAATAAGATTTTCAAAATATTGAATAAATAAAAATAGCTGTGGCAAATACCCCGTGGAAAGATAAAAATCCAAGAATGTGGTTTTAATTCTGTGTTATTATGTGTCATATTGAGTCAAAAAACCCGAAAAGTATCGATACGAATTCGATATATTATATCCGAAAAAAAAACAATATGTTTTTTAATGTACAAAAGGACAATCATATTATACTTTTACGAAAATTATATAAACTTTTTCGCTGGTCGTTTTGATTTTTTATCGAATATTTATATCGATATTTTTTTTTATGGTAAGTGATGATTTATGGTACCCCATCACCGGCAAAATAAAATGACAGTGACAGTGCTTCTTCTTTTTTAATTTATGGCCTATTTGCATTTATGAAACGATAATTGTAGTAACAATTAAAGAAAACAAATATAAATTAACAGCCAGTTGCGCATTTTGTGAATGTCATTAGTCGTAGTAGTCTATTAGTATTCCATTAAAATTACCATTCGTTTAAGGCGACATTACCTATACCTCAGACCAAATAAAAAGTATAGACGGAGTTTTGCCTAACGGAAAAATGAAGTCGACAAAACTACGCCTCGGCGTATTCGTACACAGTTTCACGCACACATACATAACGAAACTACGCCTTCCTTATCAGTCTAACTAAAGACAGTGTGCGGAACGTTTCATTATAAAAAAAAATCAAAAATTTCTTACTAACTGCCGAATTGTCTAGTAAAAGGTTGTAAAAACCAATCCTCAACAAATAAAAAGCAGGATGGAATCACATTTCACTCATAAGTATTGGAGAAAACTTACATTTTCAGTAATTTAAAAATTAAATTTAAGTAATTGCTTAGAACAAAAAACCTCAGCCAAATATTACCATCGTTAAACGTTATTATTTACCCCGAAATCAGGTAACTTTAATTTTATAACGCGTTATTTCTAACAAAACACAAATTACGTTATGTATTTTTTTCTTGTTGTATGGAAATGATGTTTAATATATTTTACATTCAAAATGCTACATAGTGGTCCAGATCACAGATATTGAAGTGTTGGAATAAGGAAATAAAAAATAAAAAACGGGTTTAATTTTGTACCCCTTTATTTTTACTATCAAAATGTGAAAGAGAAGTGGATTTCAGTCATTCGTAATAGTCGAAATGAACCTTCATGGAATCCAACTTCGCGCAGCGGAGTTTTTTCAACCCATTTTAAGAGCGATGATATGTATTATACTATAAAAGGGTTACGTCGAATAAAGCAAAACTTATATCCAAAGGTTTCAAACTTTCTATATATTAAAATTTTTGTTAACATTGTGGAAGTTTTCAAACTTAACTTAAAAATGAATTAAATAGTCTCTCTAATGTATGGCCTCCAATAATAATTACCTAATAAAGCAAAACTCGTACCCAAACTTTTCAAACTTTCTATATATTATAATTGTAGTTAACATAGTGAAAGTTTTCAAACTTAACTTAAAAATTAATTAAATAGTCTCTCTAATGTATGGCCTCCAATAATAATTACCTACTCTTAAAGATTTTAGAATATCTATGCTGATATTGACAAACGAATTTACATTATATTATTAAATAGCATAGCGCTAACGTTGACTCTATAACGTCGTAACGTTAAGTTATTGGGGTGTTTTTAATGACTATGGTCACACTGGCACGCACACTACAATTGCTAAAAATCGGCTTCACTTTGTTATTCAGCGAACTCCGTCTTTACTTTTTATTTGGTCTGAGACCTATACCGATTTTAATTAAGAGTATCCATCCAATATTCTTTCGCCTGTCCCATGGACGAATTATAATACTACTACCAATATTCTTTAATTAGGAACATATTAAAAACTTAATAATCAGATAAGTAGATACATATGAAAGTTAGAAACCGGGATCTTTTCACTTGCTTTAAGTATTTACGTATACACGGTATATATACCAAAATATATTTTCAAAAATTTTTGCTCGTCCGTTTGTTCCGGCTAACCTCTTGAACGACTGGACCGATTTTGACGGAAGTTTTACTGACATAATTTCCATGCGGACGAAGTAGCAGGCACAGCTAGTCTATATTACAGAAAATAGATTTGTTTGTTTGCATTTAATGAGCTCCCGACACTACTGAAACGATTTAAAAAAACAAAATCACCTACGAGACGCTTTATCATACGCAGGTGAACGTTGGCTATAATTTATGCGGCCGAAGTTGAGTTGAGGGATAACAAAGATAATTATTATTTATATAGATAATAATTAATGCAGGGCCGGATCTAGGAGGGGGAAAGTGGGGTAGTAGCCTGGGTTCCCCTCCCCTCCAAAATCATCATAATATACGTATAATAAAAAAAGGGTTTCACATTTACGTTTTCGGTCCTAAAAATTAAATTAAAGAAATTGGCAAGCATATTGGGATACAGGGCGCAACATCAAAGTCAAAATGATCTTTATTCAAAGAGACTTCTTAAAAGTTCAGGACGTCTTTTGGCTGATAAGAAGAACGAGCAAGAAACTCACCAGCTCTAATGGGAGTAATGGCATTCACAAAAACCATGTCATTACCAGAACAGAGAAACAAACAACTATGATCTTATAATGATATATAATAATTTCAAACCCCGGTTTGAATAAATCGTAGTAATAGGGCGCTTGTGCACTACACTGAATTTTCATGTCCGGCGGTCCGATTTTTTCAGATCCGATATGTCAGGCCATATGTAGGTAATGCGCGCTTGTGCACTGTCAGGAATTTTACCGTCCGGAATTTTACTTTTCTCTATTCCGGACCGGTTTTTTCAGGTCCGTAATGGCGGCAATGAAAAACGTGTTTACGCTTGTGCACTGCTGTGTCCGAGATCCGGAAAATTCATAAGGAATAGGCTTGGGAAAAAATAATCGATTTGAATCGATATTTATTTCGGCAATATTGTTAATTTCCAATAAACTTATAATCGATATTTATTGTTGATTATAAAATGCTATATTTTATATGATGATTTAATATAGTTGGTATATATCACTGCATATGCTTTGGCAAACTCGGTATAGTACTAATTTGATCAGCATATGGTTCTAGTATCGATACTTAGCTAGATTTTAGAATCTTATTAAAAGTATCGATAGCTTAAGTAAGATAAATAAGTGTTGTTACGTTTAGACAACTGAACCCATCTAAATGGAAATTAATATAGTAAATAGACTTAACTTTAAGAAAGGACATAGGCTACATTTTATCGCGAAAAATAGGGGATGAAAGTTTGCCTGGAAATTTGTCATTATCAAATTTTTTTAAACAATTGATAAGTATAGATAAATATTTGACAACAGAAGTAATAATAAAGAATAAACAGAAGATTAACATAAGTAATTAAGTGACACTCAATGTCTTTTTTCGCATTGAATAAAATTTTAAATGTATGTTTGTGTCATTAATAAATTTTTAAAAAATAAGTATTCTATGGGAATAATATTTCTGCTCAAAGAAACTACACCACGCGTATAAAATTATGCCTATATATAATACAGTCAACTGATCTCGTAAAGTTCATTTAGCATAATATTGCTCCGCTTACACGGTACTAATTTCGATTTGTTTATGAAATGGCGCCACCGATTGGTCTATCTCTGTAATCGCTGAAAGATGTTTTTACAAAACTTCGAAAAAAAATAGCACATTTAAAAATTTTAACATCAAGTACTAGACCATTATCAGTAATTTTATTCTAATGTCAGATATTTTTAGCTATTGTATGTAAATAATGTTGTTCCTAAATTAGTAAGGGTATAAGTTTTTACATCTGATAGTAGTCATCCGATAGTAGTAAAAAAAATGCTTTCGTCTTGCCATAATTTATTATGGTTTATGTAAAACGATCAGATCATTATTTAGGTACCTTTCTACGTCTTCGAATGGAATTACCAACGTTTCAAAAATCTCACCGTACCTAACGTAAGTGACGTGTAGCTTCAAAGAGAGCTGCCCTACACTGCGCCGCTCCGATCAGGAAAAAAACGGACAAGTGCACAAGCTACTCATCCGAGTTTTTCATGTCATTCCGGACCGGAAAAAATCGGACCGCCGGACCTGAAAATTCAGTGTAGTGCACAAGCGCCCATACAGTATCATCTTTTTATGAATTACTTTTTGAATGAAGCTCAGTGTGTTATGGTATCGATTAATCCTAGGGACTAATAATAACCACAGCCCAAGTAATAGACGTGATAAAGGGAATATGGGATACAATAAAGACAATTAAATGATGTAGATAATTATATTTTATTTTATTTTAGAAACCAAGACAATTTACATTATACTGCCTCCTTAATTGTGCTCCTGATAATAGTTTAAGAAAAATATAACATGGGTTGATTTAAATATCTTAGTTTTATTTTAATAATTGCTATAAAAATATAACTGAATATAATTATGAAAAAACACCTGGCTGAAGCAATATTTCATCTAACTGTGTAAGAAACATCCTTATATATTCTCAAAAAAATATTTAACATTTTCCTTGAACTATTAACACATATAATTTGTCATAAACTTATCTAAATTCTAAAATGAATTTATAACAATGTGTAAATGCACAGGTACGGGAGTCTATAAAACCATAAAACATTTAATCATTATAAATCATTATCAAACATTAAAGATGTCAAATTCAATAAAAATATCTTTATTCTTAATGAAAAACGCTTATAAAATATCTTAGTTCAATTATAATGGTAAAGAAATACAAATTTCAAAGAAAAATTAAAAACTTAGCCTAGTAAATATTGTAAATCAAATACAACGGACGATAGAACTTCAAAGAATCTCACACTAACATTTCTTCAGTTTGCATTCCTTCTAAAAGGTGATATACATCGGCATTTACAAGTGTGTAAATGCAAGGGCGTACTCAGACTAGATTGTAGTTAGAGCCACCCGAAAGCAGGCCATATGCGAGTATGAACTCGTTTTTTTTTTTTGATAACGTAGGGGAAATGCATCTTAAACCTTAAACCAGGGCTGCCTATCGTGGCCATAACGATGGTTCCACCTTTGGTATGAAGTGCTGGAGTGAAACGACGTCGTTCGAAAGCAAAATCCACGCTGTCTGTATAAAACTCTACACACGTGGAAAGACGTCAACAATGAAAAAAAAAGAAACTAACTCTGCCTGTATAAAAAATCTCTAATTAATGTAAAGGTATGTGTTTATTTGCAGTGATATTTTGCGTTTTTAATTTAGTACTGTTAATGTACTGTAAACGGATTTTCTTTTAATTTGCAAAATGTCTAAATCAAAACTTAGTTAGACTTTTTGAACCATTTCTTTATTGTTATTAAAATTCAGAAAACTTGTGTAATGGCATCATTGGCATAAAACGTATAATAATGACAATATATATCATTCAAGTATAAACCCGTGAAATTAGAACACTGGTCAAAATGTTAAAATATAATGCGCCCATTAAAATATTATAAAAATATAATACGATCGTTGAGGAAATGCCAGTGTGAGAGCAAACCTACGAGTTTGCACACAAAAATGCAGAGTGGCACAAACGAATTCGCAACGCAGAAAGTTGTGAAGCGAATTGCTGCGATGCGATTTCGTGCGACAAAGGGTCTTCTTTACCCTTATTCATCAACATCATTAAGTATAATGTTACCTTACAGGAATGCGCTATGCAAATCTGTGCTATTTGGACGACGCGTCGTGGTATCGCAGTTTTGTGTACAAACCCTAATAGAGTCAAAACAATAATAATATTATATTAACGCCAGCGGAATGAGATAAAGTACGTAAACAATCTGACAGTGACTGAGTAACATTAAGATAGAGAGCGATTTTTACCTCTTTCTTATTTCTAGAACCCCATAGTATTGTCCGTTGGCCAACGAATGTCGTTTCGCGTTTAGTGGTACAAGAAAGTTGTCACTATTGTGGCAACATTAGGAAAGCAAGTCGCCTTTTATAACAAAATATTTCATAATATGTCTCGTTTTGTTGACTTATTGTTACATTACTGAAATGCATATCTTTTTTATAAACAACATCTATTAGTATGTTATAACGGTAAGCGAAAAACCGGACAACGACGCATATTTTAGGCTGACAATAGGTGAAAAAACAGACGATAACACAAAGTATAATGCAATAGTCGAAAGAAAACTATACGTCTCACACACTAATTGGGATATTGCCTACAAGTGACAACGCACGTTGTTTTATATGTTCGAAAAATATAAACTATTTCAACTTATAAATATTTAACAAAATAAATTTTATTACTCTATCGTGAAAATATTACACTTTGAAAACTTGAAAAGCATAGGAAAAATTAGTACAAACATTTATTAAAATACATAGGCGCCACTTTTATTATAACAACTATAAACATAAACGCACAAATAACAAATATAATCACAAAGATTGCCCAAACACCCATACGTTTTTCGCTACACTACTTAACTGTGACGTAACTTTTCTGCCAAAATTTGTAGGGGGCGTTTTCGGCCGACTAGCAGCAGTTCAACATAGCACCGTATCTCCAAAAACATTAATCGCATACAGGTTGTCACTCTGTATTATTTGCATAAATATTAGTGGACTATTAATTTTTTAAAATAAAAAAAAAAAATAGTCAAGTATCCAATTAAAGACCTCTGTAGTGCCCTAGTGGTACCAAACTTTATTACTACAGGTCTATGAATAGGTTTATGTATAGTTTCCTTTCCACGTCCACATGATATTGTGTCATTGACCGATTTTTCGCTGGGCCTAGGAACAGACTATATTCTAAAAAATATTATCTCTAGTCTAGCACATCATATAACGTTCTAGTGTTGCTTAGATGTAAATAAACTATAATAATACGACAAAACATTTCAAATTTATCCACTGACTGCAATGTGATTGTCCAATTTTTATTTGAGCTAATATGTCATTTTAGCTGACATATATATTAACGAACTTAATATGTAGTTGGATAGACATTTTTGAAAATAGAACAATTTCGTGACAGAACAGTCCGAAAAGCATTTTTTTTTCCAAAGGGAATGTTCATACATATACAAGGGGAACATACTTTGAGATGCGACGACTAGATCACTAATGGCCATTTATCATGAGTTTCCTCAACAAGTTAGTGGAATCTCTATATCTGTAGACATAATATCTATACATGTCTTTGTGCACGTTTTGATTATTTTTTTCTTTTTAAAGTTAGGTTTTATATAAAAACAATACTATTAATTAAGTCTTAGGTAATCACAGCGAGTCATAATCATATCAACTAATGTCAAAATGAACATATCACATGCCTGACGCGGCGATTTTAATTACGTAAGATTCGTATTAGAATAATGCCAAAAAGTATTTGGTATATGTTTTGAGCAAAATTGATCGTTGAGAACGAATCCTTCTCCTGCCCATTTATCTCAACGAAAACCAAAATAGAATTAAAACAATCCGTTTTCCAAATAACGAGGCATTTCACACATATAACATCAGTCAAATTGTAAATAACAGTAAAAAAAGTTAGTACACATGCTCATATTCTGCATTAATATAAAAAATATATATATATGTATATATAAATATAAAAGGACTGACTTAAATCTAATATAGGCACTTTAAAAATTGTATGAAAAACTACTTAAGTCTTAAGAAGACAGAGAGGAACAAAACGTAACCCTATTAGTAATTATATACTTTACGTACATTGTATTTAACGTTCATTCTGGATTGAATTCTTCATTAATTACGATCATACTTTGTCTATCTTTGGATCGTTGCTCTTAGAAGAGAACCTCAACTGAATGTAACAAGTTTTAAACGGTTTCATCGCGTTTGTATTTAGTTTTATTGACATTACGGACCCTTAACAGATTCGGTGTTCACATAAGACTAAGGTGCTTATTGTCTTTTTAATTAAAAGTATAACTACCTTAAGTCTAATGTGAACACGGGACCTATAAACTGTACGTAACCTCAATAAAACTAAATTCAAACGCGATGAAACCGTTTTAAAGTTGTTTCATTTATGAATAGTGCGCGTGAAAGCATAAGAACTCAATATGAATGTAACATTACTTTAAACTTTTCATCTGACAGTGTTTTATTTCGCTCTGTCCTCTTTTATCACACAAGTTCTTTAACTTTAGAATATAATGCTTCTAGTTAATAGATATGACAGCAAAAACATGGAAGAATGCACATAGAATTGGTCAGTAACTCTTAATAAAAAAATAACGATCAGTCATCCATTTCAAAACTATACTATAAAACAATTTTAAAGGTTAATTCTAAGATTGATTCTTAAATTTTTCAAATTCAAACGATTTATTGATTGCTTCAACGATCACATTTTTTCTTCCTCCCGATCAACAGGAATGCGAAGGATTATAAGTCATCAACTGAGTTAATAGGCCTTCTATGATTCATTCTTGTCCTTGTTACATGTTTAGATTGTTCAACATTCCCACGAGATTGTCGTCAACTACGGCGTGCACTTGGGCATCGAATCCGTAATGTGTTCCGAGCTGTCGGCAGTGGTCGATGTAACGCCGCCATTTTGCGTCACGTTGCAGAACTAGAGGGTTGCCTATCACTATGGTCTTCGCTTTCGCGCGAGTCAGGGCAACGTTGAATCGCTGCAAAATGAAAGCTCGTATCACATATCGTAATCGATTGTAGTCTGATTTATTAATTGGCAAAAGGTATAAAACGCACACATTCGTGTGAACCGAGATAGTCATCTAATTATATTTCACTATTAAAATTAGTGTTTGAAAGACATCAAAGATAAATAAATATGAAAATTTGAATATAATTATGTAATCTATATCTATTTAAAGAAACTTAAAACATAACAAATTTCTGCACACACACATCGTTATATCGTATATATACTACTCGTATTTAACTGTATAAAAGCAGACACCAAAGTAAAGCCTAGTTAGTTGCGTGTGGTTTTAATTAATATTAACCATCCATTTTAATACAAGTTTCTTTAACAAATTAACCAACTATTAAATAAGTATTATTTTTGAAGTGTAAAACTGGACTATATTACTAAGACTCCGCTGATCGTCCATCCATCTGTTTGTCTGTCAGCAGGCTGTATCTCGTGAACTGAGACAGTTTTGTTTTCTTTATAAAACAGAATGAAATAAATATTTAAGGGGCTTTCATACAATAATTTTTATTGATACATGATAAATGTACGGAACCCTTCATGCGCAAATCCGGCTCGCACTTCCGTTCTTTTCTATTTTTAATTGCTGCGCAGTTTACTTTAGTGTCTGGTACTGTAATCGTATATATACCTTATCGTCGACGAGGAAGCCGAGTTGGTAACGAGCGTCGTGGGCGAGTAGCTGATTCTGTGCGCGTACGCATGATATGATCACTACTCGCTTCTCCTTGCCCTGGAACGATTCCACAGTGCCCACTTCCACGCGATCGTATCCAGATTCACGCAGCCAAGCCTTTGTTTTGTACACCTATGAAAAGTACGTAATTTTTGTATCTTTAATAATAATGGAACACTAAATTTGAAAGGTTTTTAATTAACAAATTATCCGACCAAAATAAGTCAACACGTCTCAATTTATAACCGACAAACTATGATATCTACCAACGTGCGTCTATAATAATATACGCAATGAATTTATAATCAATGTAAGAATATGATTGATTGATGAAAGTCCTGGATTAGATCGACATAAGAATTTATTAGAGTAAATTAAAATGTAAAGGTATTGTCTTAGGGCTGGGTAATGTGGTTATTTTATTGTTTTAGATTTCCATAATAGAAGAATGTTAAGTACTCAATTAGGGATCTGAGGAATGGTATGAGATGTTGTGTAATATTTACGTTTATTCATTAATTAAAGTGTCAATTTTGGATAAAAGAAACGATCATACCTGTCTGATGTATGGTGTGACGATCCCAATATCGTGCTGTTCTACTCTGTGATTCTTTATCAGCGCATCCACATACTTCTGGACCAGTTCCAATTCCATAGTGTTGAAGTAACTGTGTATATAATAAGTAGTCATAAGGTAAACAACCATTTTAACGTAATAATCTGTTTACTTCAAAGTTTTAATACAATACAATTTGCCTTAATTACTATGATTTTGACCCTCCAATCCGCATTGGGCCAGCGTGGCGGGTCATGGCCCATCCTCCTTAACCATCCATAAGGAAGGCCTGAGCCCCTGCAGTGGGGACGTAAAAGGGCTGGTGACTATGATTTTATTATTTATTATGACCCTTAACAAATTATTTGAAATACTTAACACGAAGGTGGCAATATAAATATTTCCTATATTACACGATTTTAATGCATTTGTTAGCTATTATATATATTAGTTGAGATTCCGTACTTTTCTCAATTTAGAAACTGGCTATTTAAAAGCAAATAAAATAGATAATATTTAATCCATTTTCTATGTACCTGGGCGATTTGCCGACACGTTGCTCGCGTGATAGTACACCGTGGAACACCACGCCGCGACTGTGGTCTCGTTCACCCAAAACGCATATCACTGTCAACGGATCTTGTTCAGCGCACGCCTGATAAACATAATCACATATAGATCGGATAGTTACGCTGTAATGTGTGAATTTGAAATACGGATGGAGACTGTGAATGAAAATAAACACATGTTGCTTTTGCAACTAAAATAATGTTTGAGTTATTGTTACTGCAGAGTTATAATTATACTATGACTTTTTGGTCGTGCTGACTCTGCTGATTCTAGCTATAGGATACGACATTTTATGCCGATATTTTGTTTCATTATACTACTTTGATATTGACTTCTAACGATGAACAAACGATAAAGAATGATGATTATGGATTTAATAGTAGTATTAACAACTTAGTCATTTATCCTTCAAAGGACGTGAAAGAAGAACATGGATCGAAATATCGTCATAGCATCGCTAAAATATCGTATCTTATAGCTAGAATCAAAGTTAGAGAGCAAGGTGTTTGCACCTCAGATTTCCACGGACCATACATTGGGAAACGCCGTTTTAGCTAAACGTTAAAGTGAGTAACAAACTAAGTCTGTAACATTTCTACTTAATTAAGTGTAAGAGTATAATAATGATGTATATCCTCACCCTGAGTTGATTATTGTAAAACAGTTCGTTGGGTAGTGCGATGATGTCGTCGCTTGAACGAAAATTGTTGCGTAACATAACAACATAATCGGGATCTCCAGATTGGTACATTTCCATTTTCGTGAGACGTTCCATAAGTGACGTGCCTGTTGTAAATAAACAAAATATTAAAAGTGACCTGGTCAGCAGCTGCAACAGTTAATCTTTATGGATTCTTCAAGCTCGAGTATGTAACAATGTATTATAATAATATATTTATTTCTGCATAAATATGGAAAGTACAAGATGTTACAATTTATTAGAATTTTTTTTCTTCATTGCGTAAATAGTTTCTAGTAGCCGAGATAAATTAAGGTATGAGTAATTTTAGAAACATTCGATATTTTGATTATATTCAAAGCAATGTTAAAGGAACAATTTAAAAAATGCTACTTTAGCAAGTAGGTTTTACTCACATAGTATTTTTTTATAACATATATATTTTTTTAATAAGACTGTAGGCCAATTCTGCTTATGTTAACGTTATAATCGCATCTCAATAGAACCTCAACTACTTGTATTATGCCATTGTATTATCTACCTGATGTCCAATATTATATATCTGTTACCATTGATGTGTGAGGAAGACATCGCACTAATAATATTGGACTTCAAATAGATAGTATAATAGTAAAATGTAAACCTTTGAGATTCTATTGAGATGCAAATATTACGTTAACATTAGCAGAATTGACCTGCCGATCATTTTATCACGAATAAACAAAAACATATGAAAAGCAAAGTTAAAATCATCATTCAAGATACACTGTTCTTATTGAAAGGTCTATCCCCAAATAAAACAGTTGAAAATAATGATACTTTAAAACATCATAAAAAATATTGTTCATAAATACGACATTTGGAGCATTTAAAATCTATCTAATTTATAACATTTCCTTTTGACATTAATTAAAAAAAAAATAAGGTAGCGATCCCGTAGAAAACGATGATTTAGAGTAGTTACCTAATCCTCGGCGTTGGACATAATGGGATATGACGCAGGGTCCCAGTTGCAGCGGATCGCCGGCTAGCAGCAGTCGTCCGTGGGGCTCCAGTAGGGCGGTGGGCACGAGGCTGGCGGGCTCGCTGGCCTGTCCCGCCTCGTCGATCAACAAGTGGGTGATGGGACGTCTCCCTCGCATTTGTCTAAGCGGGACACAATACATAGATGGGATATGCACATTTTTTAATGTTTTCATATGATAATTTACGTCGTTATATAGCTGTAGAAACTACCCAGCACCGAAAATCTAAAATCGAATAACAATGATAAATTTTGAAATAAGTAAAAACTACGGGCAGTTTAAACGCCGGAATTTTTGGCGCGCTTGTCTCGACGTCAAAGTACACTATTAAAGATATGACATTTTAATCAATATGGATTTTGAGTGATTGATTTTCAATCACACAAATCGTAAAAATCAACTAACAACTAATCGATTTTTTAAAGTATAATAGACTTTTAATTAATCATATAGTTAATTGGTGAAATAAAAATAGTCTAAGAAATAATATAAATTGTAATTTGTTGTTTATTTTGCGTTTTGCGACATAACACATTAAGTAATAGTGATCGAAATAAAATATATTTAACTCTTTTTTTAATACGATTCATATTGTTTATTCTGACGATAATAATTATACTCTTGATTACAAAAATAAACAACATCAATTAGGCCACTGTTGACGAAATAGAAATAGACATCGTGTAATTTACATCACTATACCAGAAAATAAAGTTGGGCCCATTCAAATAATTATGTATTTTTATAAAGCAATTTATTATAGTCTGTATGATTTTGATAAATTGGTTTTGTTACCTGACAATTGGGATAAAGTTAGAAAATTCGTTTATTTCGTAGTCAAAATGTTCGTAAAAGTTTATTCGTTTACTACATAAATCGCTGTTCGTTATATCCCCATTCAGTAACTGCTTTTTAAATAATGAAAAAAAATGTAATTTATTTATAAAAAATGTTGTTACTCACTTGACAAACTTAGCCGAGTGTATGAGAGTCGTGACTATAATTCGGTAAGAAAGGAATTCTTCTTTGGACACAGGCTCGTAGTCACTTGCGCATGTACCATTGGAGTAGTCATACAGACACTCGGGGAGAGTTTCCCTGCAAAAATACACACATATAAATATTACTATGTCAATGCCAAATTATCACACAATCATAATTATTATGAGCTTAGCTTATAAGCGATTTATTATGAGCTAACTTGTAGCATAGAATTGAAATAAATGAAGAGTGCGTACAATATCACACGGATAATATCAGCTAACAAACTAAATCACAAAATTTCCAAGACATTGTGCAGTATGCGTCATACATAACATATATTCGTAAATTCTGATAATACGTTAACCGACAGGACTCGACGTATCATCCATCAGATATGTACTGACACTCATAATGGGCAAATAATATAGGATAAAAACCCATGGTATACGGAAATAAAATTGTAAAATAAAGTTTATAATTATCTACAGTTTATCATAATGAGGATCGGTATCTTGCAGATTGTGGAAGTTTTTTAAAAAAAAAGAAGTGCTAGTCAGCGAATAGTTTCTTGTTTACAGCTCACGCATCGTAATATTTTATTGAATTTATTATTCACTTTCATGAAACTGACTCGCAAAATAAGACTCCAATTTAATAAAACTTTACTCACTATAATGAAACATTAATGAACAGACACTATTAATCTTATTGTTAGTGATGAAGTTAATTAACTATTAAACTTAGTAATTAACTTGACACTTATAACAATACATTATGAAATATAATAGAAATGGTAACGTATATGTAAAAAATAAATATATTGTAACTTTAATTTATTGTTGCAAAATTAACTTGCTATTTATAATCTGTGGCTTACAAAGACTTATACGCGAGCGGCCGTGACGGAGCTTCGTGTGACTTCAGATTTCAATAAATTGAGAGTTGAACCAGTACTTATTTTTATTGATATGTAACGTCACGGTTAAAAACGTCACGTGATTGATTAACTGTGCGGGATAATTGAAATTAATGAATAAAAATATGTTTTTCCTTTATTTATTAACAACACTTTGTGGAGAAAAATAAATAACATATAAAGTTTTGAAATACTCTTCCTAAAACAGTCAAGTAGCCGATTTGCGCCCATCTCCCTAGGGTGATAAGAAAACGGTGCATAAACTTACCACACGCGGAACTTAGAGTTGGCGCGCAGCAATAGTTTGTCCGGGAACTGATTCGCATATTTAATCAGTAAAGACGCTACGTGGTCCGCCGCCATATTTGAATCCGTGCATATTAGTAATCGGTTGTTAGAGCTCTTCTTCACCAACTGCCAAACCATTTTTAGATGTTGATTTTTTACAAAATTTTGGATGAATTCGTAAACACAAAAATATATTCAACATAAGACAGGATACTGACATGTCTACACTTGGTTGTTTTTAAACAAAATAAATATTAAATTAATCTAGAAAATCAAAACTTGTCCAATTCCAAAGGACTACTCCAAGTCATGATTGAAGTAAATCTATGACAGGATATTTGTTTTTAATAGAAGATAAAAAATAGCTTTCTAAAAATATTTCATGGTATGCATATATATATATATATATATATATATATATAATAGTTCTTTCTACTTAATTCTTAGATGTCAGGCTTACTATTAAAAGAGAAGAAAGTGATTGCTATTGATAGTAATGAACATTATTAAAAGTTGTGATTACTTATTTAATTATTACGATACGGTGTTATACTCAGATTGCAAAAGTACTTGTCAGTGTTTTTTTACCTGTAGGGCGATTTCCACTAGTGTGACAGTCTTGCCGGTACCGGGGGGTCCGTGTAGTAAGAAGGGGGCTTGCCCTCCGCCCGCTGAAACCGCGTGGTCTACAGCTATGCGCTGCTCGCGGTTATTGCCCACCTCAGAGTTGAATAACCTGCTCGTTCAAACTTGATACTTAGTATGTTGTACTACAGATATTGATACTAATTGGGTACTCGACAGTTATAACAATAATTTCGACACCTGCAAGAAATAACCTTGTAACTCATGTTTGGACATTTTACAGGAGAGCATAATAAAGATTATGCCACCCGACCTTGAAATTTGAAGTAAGTGTTACAGGGCCCATACTACTATACCATATTAATTTTATGAATTTATATATGTATATTGATTTATTTTGAGTTTTCCTGGGCTAAAATTATAATCTTTTCAAGATACTTAATAAAATAACATTGTATCTCAGACATATAACTTACATTCGTGGCATAAAATTGTATGTCTGAGATACAAATTTGATAAATTGTTTAAATATGCCTTTTTAACGTTATAATGCGAAAAAAAAAATTTAATAATTAAATGCCTTTATTAACTTGCTGAGACTCATATACAATTTTACATTTACGTAACAAAATTTCCGAATCCTTTAATTTACCATAAAAATTAAATCAACATTAATTATGAATTTAAGTATCATCAAATAAATCGAGTTTTAATTAATACTTGATAATACATGATTAATTCGTTTTAATAAAGATTAAAACGTGCACTTTCTACAAAAAAATGCGCTATAATAAGTATTTAACACGATGACTTTTCAAAAACATTGTAATCCTAATTTGCTATTTCTAGCCAAAGCCTTCTATGTATATTTAGAAGCCTTTGGTTCAAGCCTATGGCACAAGCTATTATATTCCTAGAAAAAATATATTATTCTAATTTTTGTAGCAATATCCGAAAGCGGACATGTAAGTCCTTTTTATTCTTCCATGTGTGTCCTAGGATACGTTCGTTATGAATTTTATCGAGCAGTGTTATACCCAATAGAGACTTTTCCGTTTGTAGAAATGTGGAAAAAACAAGATTGTATCTACGATTACAATTTAATTAATGTTAGCTAATAATGGTTCACCAAAAAAGTAACATGTAACAAAATATGCGATTTTAGTAACTACAGTTAACTCCTTCTTACGATGTTATACCTCCCTGCAAAATTTAAACTATACACGAGTTAAATATAAGTGTAAAAAATCTGCATTTTTTGCTAAGCAAGATTATAATTTTCACTCAATATCTTTAAAAAGTGGTTTACGATGTATTTCCTTGCAGCATTGTTTTCCTTCCTTGACGCATGAGTAGTGAGCATGTAAAAAAAATAATACTTGAAATAGATTTTATTCTATTGTTTGAAATATAAGCTATACTAAAACATTAGAGATCATATTTGCATGCACGCGTCATGCTCACCTAGTAGTCACACTACTGGCATTTAATACGCATGCGCAAGTAAAGAGAGACAAATATCCACCTTGAAGTTTCCTCTCTTTAAAAGTTAAATTTCTACTCAGAAAGCCCCATATTTCATTCAAAATTTGAATATTATCAGCATATAATTATGTGATAGGAGCATGAAATTGTTCGTGTAATAGAATTTATGAAAAGAAAAGCGAAGGAAAGATCGAAGGAAATATTTTTTCTCAGACCACAGTATCACATAACGCTAACGTACAAACAAGCTCTTACAGAAAATTATAGACTACTTTTTTGGACACGCTACATTAATGTTATGGCCGAATGCAGATTGTCATATCATTCAACGTTGACATTTAAACGATATGATCAGTTTAAGGCCATTTCATATAAATTATCATTTTCTATAATCTGCCCCGATATATACATCAATTACATAAACTATTAAACTTGCGCGTTGCATTATATTATATTGTACAAGACGGGTATTAACGCGATAGATTTTAATAGTTAGGTTTTTCACCTACCTATATTAACCTGGTCGAAACGTCGGGTAATAACGGTAGGTGAAAAACCTAACTATCGAAATCAAACGCGTTAATACCCGTCTTGTACAATCTAATACATTAATTATAATCATATTCATCGATACAAGCTCATTTTATCGAATAATATATATCGAATAACTCACTCAGTTATATGGGTGATCTGTGTTGTTTTCTCGTTCTTCACTGGAAAGATTCGCTGCTCGTGACCGGAACGGAATACAGAATCTACAGCAGAGTGCATTCGTTCGAGAACCATTCGCGATAAAAAGAATCGTACGTCGAACTTGGCTTTCGAGTTGTAGTATCGGTGAAACCTATATAAACAACAT